TCTCAGAAGCGGACTCTATCCGGGATCCTACTGTTTATAGCTGCTCTTTTTATAGTATTCGGAGTGAGTTTCATTCATTTCGAAATTTATCTCCGCTTCAAATTCAGAATCAAAGAGGTGCGTTTACAGTTTATCACAGATTACCCTACATGGCAAACACATGGTTTATTCGTTTTCCATGCTATAGTTGAGAGCTTCAATCAAACTGCTAATTTGAGTACAATGAGTCCATCAACAATTTCATATCAATCATGTACGTTGTTCGCTACAACTTGACGTTTTACGGCTGAACTCCAAATTTGGCAGAGCAGTGAGTTTCAGCTTTTCAACATAGTCCTCGAAACAATCAAACTGCCTCTTCATTGGAAGCGAACCTTTCATCATTATCATCACTTTCATATCAACACCGTACGTTTTTTCAAGTATTGTTGCATCATTGGGAGGAAGGGGTGTGTAGTGGTGTGGAGGTGGCAAGTAGCGCACAAACCCATGAGCGTGTTCAGAGGTTTGAATCTAGAATCGGTATCCGCCTAAGCAGACCTAGCCATTCATCATTACGGGGTCGACTAATTGGTACTAGACTCGTTTGAGAGGATAAAAAGACTGACTTGTGCATCGCCTGTCCACCACAATTCGTTGTATAGGCCACCTACCCATTCAATACGCCACTACGATTCTGAATGGATTTGAATGCGGGGCGCGTTCTTCAGACAGGATTGATCAACGTCCGCAGACTTTATTCATTGTTCTTTGTATCTGATTTCTTAACGGAAAGAAGGTGTACCTTTGAGGCTTGCCACCTTTTCAATTTTATAAATTTTAGATAAAGGATAAATTCGTTTGGCGTTGATCAATCCCGTTTTTGAATGCTCCCCAAATCAAGCTCTATTCTAAACAGCAGTGGCTTTTTGAATGGGTATGTATTGGCCCATACCGTGACTAGTCAATGTTCGAGCCAGTGTTTCCATTATGCCAAGCAAGTATAGAACCAATTAACCAGCTTTGGACGGGTGGGAGATTTGGTCCAAGCGGGGATGTAGTCCCCGGACCAAATAGCCAATACCCTACCTCAGTCCTGTGCTCGTATCGAGGGGAAGATCATGATTTTTCTAGAAACCGTCCAATAACAATTTCATACGATCCTCTTAGGTTGTTCGAAACACCTTTACATTCTATGTTTTCCAAACGTCCAAAGACATAATATTCTAGCTCCCAAACCTATTCTTCAAAGCAGCAATGGCAATTTTTCAGTTTTGCAATCTCTCACTGGGCCCGACAATCAAAGCGCTCCATCAAGTACAAGCCTTCCAGCAACAACATCGTACCTTTCCAGTAGGTTGTCCGAATAGTCTTCGAACTTGACTGCTCTTTAATTATTTTTAATTATTTTTCAAGGTCAATTTTCCTGAGCTTTTCAACCTTCTCTTCGAAATAGCAGTTAAACTCCTCCTCAAAATAGAAGTCAAACAACCTCAATTTTCTAATTTTTTTTGAACACACAACTTTTTAGCTTTGCAGTCTGCTCCTCAAAACAACACTCAACCAACCTCTTCGACTACGAACATTTCATCAACAATTTCATATCAGCCATGTACTGCGTTTATTGTTGTCTTGACTCTTCACGAGATTTGTAAATGTCCTTTATTAGGCTGAAGTTTCACCGGAATCCCCTGCTTCAGAGCCTGTAATGATCATAACAATCTGTGACTATCCGATCAAACGTCTCCACCAGCTCACTAAGTTCGAGACCCCCAGGGCACGCAGGTGATCGAAAGGAGAATCAACCGTAATTCAGTAGATTCTTCAAAACCACCCAGCAAGTGATGGTACCAACCGACCAGTGTCAGCTGGGGTACGTCCTCATTAAAGTCTGTAAAGGAAGGCCAATCTTATATAAGGCCGTAGCTCCCGCGTGATTGCGAGACATTCTTCCCTACGATTCATTTTGGGATTGGTGACCTATATCCAAAATGCCTCGAGGTTTTTACGCGCGCACAATTGTGACTCCTGTGCTAGTGGGCTGATGGAGACGTTTGATAGTCACAGATTGTTATGATACTTTCAGGCTCTAAAGAAGGCGATTCCGCCGAAACGTTAGCCTAATTAAGGATATTTACAAACGTCGTGAAGAGTTCAAGACAACGATAAACGCAGTAACATAACTATGCTGAGGTTCATAGAAAGCCATACATGGAACTTCAGTCATGTACGTTGCTCGGCGCTTCTCGATATCTTATCAGTACCTTCCTTCTTGACAAAATGGTACTCTCTCAGCCTTTCAATCTCCTCTTCAAAACCGCAGTCATAATGCCCGTTCGGATTTGTATAGTTCTTAAACAGCTTCGTATCAAACGAGTGTGTATTCCTTTTCCTCTCAAGGGAACTCACGATGAACACGTATTACCAGAGTATCTCATAGTCTTCATAAGCGTTCTGCTGAATTCTCGCTGACTGGATAGGACACTGGTTCCTACCTTTGTCTATGCTGAAGAGGGAAAAGCTCTCCCCAAAACCTACCCGATAGGATTGCGATGGGGTAACATTGAAGAAAGTATCATCGGTGAGTTAACCACATCGGTACCCCATCGCGATCCTAGTGGGCAGGTTTCAGAAAGAGACTCTTCCTCTCCAGTTCAGAGAAAGGTAGAAACCAGGATTTTACTTATTAATATAACTTCACACAAGACTTACAAAAATTTAATGACCTCAGACTCAGCGAACCCTGAGGAGTCTGAGAAGATGGAATTAAATTATCGTTTCCCGATCAAACAATACACCGCGCATAACCTTCGAGATCAACTTGTTCATCATACAATCGTAGGTGGAAAAAATTACCATTTTTGAAGCTCTATCAGGGGAAGCGGTAACAATACAGGAATAGGGCTTTGAAAATTACCAATGATTGCCCAAAAAAGTCGAATCATTTTGTAGCCATAAATCCTGGTGGGCCCTTTTCTTCATCACCAGTTGATCCATCTCTTTTGCCTTATCTGTGCATTACAGACCATCATAACAAAAATGACGCAGAAAACCGGACTAAACTGAAAGCGTAAAGGCCGCCAATCAATTTTTTGTATAATGTGTTCCATAGTATTTAGATTCTCTTTAGCAGTTCGTTTAGTTAGAGAGGGCAGAGCATTTGACTCTCTATTCGTTCTCATGGTGTATCAAGTTTTGGGTCAAATGACTGGGTATGAGTTCAGCTCATTCTATAACTGTCTGAGTAACTACATTGAAACTACCCCTCTACAGTATTTCCTCCCCTACTTTCCTTAAACTCCCTTGCCACTCTTCCGGCGCGTCCCCAGAAAACACTGCCGTTGGTTGCGTTAGCAAGTTAGGAGGATGCAACTTCTAACGACGTTTATATGCCTTTGAAGCAGTTTTCTGTCTTTTTTTTCTGTTCCCAGTCACGAATGAGTTACACCAACAAGACCTAACTGGTACAGTATATGAAAGAAGGTCCTTTTCTAATCCTTGAGTATATACGGTGGCGTACGCGAATAACGGACTGATGGTGGGGTAGCCTCGTCGAAACACTGATGAAAATGGATGCTATAAGCTGATAAAAGCAGTCAATAGCATTTATTACTTACTTACTTATACGGCTCGTCTTCACTCATGTGAAGCACCAGCAACAAACCACTCGCTTCTGTCTTTCACGATCGCCATTCACGGTAGACTCAGGATTCGACGAGATAACGATGTGAGGACTCGTTCAGCTGTTGTCGCAGATGTTTCACGTGATCGACAAGCTTATCCCCCCATCTCACAGCAGGGCCACTCTGGGATAGTGAAGATCCTATGGGAACCCACTCGACTGTTCTTCTTGTCCATCTGTCATCATCTTCTCTCTTTATATGACCGGCCCATGTCCATCTGTCATCATCTTCTCTCTTTATATGACCGGCCCACCGAAATTTTGCGTTCTTCATGTACTCCACCGGATCGCGGAATCGTGACATTCTGCGCATATCGGAGCTGCGGAGTTCGGCTCGATATTGCGTCTGTCGGTTGAACCTTAAAAGACATNTAGCCACCCAAGTCTCCGATCCGTAACAGAGCGCAGGAAGAACCGTGGAATCGAACAGATTACGCGACGTTTCGGGTCAGGCAAATGATTGGTGACCTCTTTCATCGGTCCGAAGGCTGCCCACGCTGCTTCCTGCCGTCTCCCCAGCTCCTCCCTAACGTCGTTATTCATCTTCATAGAACGCCCAGATAAACGTAAGACGAGGTCTCTTTGATGGATGCACCATCGATCTTACTATCACCTTCGTCGGTACAAGCGTTCTTCATGAACTGTGTCTTTGTTTGTCATTCTTCATGAACTGTGTCGCACCTACCTTCTTCCATGCTATATTAAGCTCAGCAAGCATAGTCCCAGCTTTCGCAATGCTGCTTGAAGAGAGAATCATCTCCTACGCGAAGCGGAGGTTTGAGAGGAACCGTCCATTCACACGAATCGCCTTTTCGTTCCAGTAGAGCGGCTTCATAACCCACTGCAGCGCGGCTGTGAACAGCTTCGGCGAAACAGTGTCGTCTCGTCTAACACCCTTCTCTCTGGGAATAGGGAGAGGTCGAGGTTGTTGGAACAGCTTCACCGTCGCGCTGCAGCGACTGCTTCAGTCAGCCAGTGCTCTTATGTAGGGAGGGCCCACTCCTTGATCGACCAGTACTGACAGGACCGCATTCGTTTCAACGCCTGTCAAAAGCTTTTCCATAGTCGAACAAATCTAAAGACAAGAGGCTTTTGGAATTCTCATCACCTTGGATGGCCATTGCGATCGCTTGTCGTTTGTCAGTTGATAGCCTTCTGAACGGAAAATCTTAGCCTTCTCTTTATAATCTTTATTTCCAAAGGGTGATAAGGTTAGGCTATATGTTGAAAGATCCTGCATTTGGAATGTGCTATTTCAGACTCTTCATCAACAAACACGACCGACAATTATCCAAGTTGCTCACAAAGACTGAAATTCGCTGGACGGATCAATGTCTCCATGGAGGAAATTCCATTGAAACAGCTCGAAGAAAAATTCAAGTATCTAAAACCGGGTGGTCACTACATTCCAAATGGATGCAAGCCTCTGAATCGGGTAACGGTCGATTTTTTCAATAAGAGGATAGCAAAGGATTGTCGTTAGATACCGCAAAGACGCCATTCAGACGTTAGTCCGAGCGAGAACATAGGATATTTATTGGGTATTCATCGAAAAGAATGGGAAATTGATTGCGACGCTTCCAATTCTTCACCAACTGTTTGCCTTTTACAGGTTGCGATTATCATCCCGTTCCGTGATAGGGAATCTAACCTACATATCCTTCTAAATAATATGCACCCATTTCTTACTAAGCAAATGTTGGATTACTTGATTATAGTTGTCGAGCAGGTAACAAACCAAACGTTCAACAGGGCTAAGGTAAATTTGTCTGATTTTTAATGTTTATATTTAACATATAAGGATGCTGCATGCGTGCTGCGCCTTATGCATCATTTTTTCGGAAATTCACCATCAAACATTGAACAGACATTAGATTACAGTATACCTACATCGTTTTCTACTACGTGTACCTAACACTTCTGCAGTTGCTCAGTACCCTTTTTCCATGACGGCAACCTAAAGAAACTCTCGAATACAGGATAAGAGTGAAGCAGAGTCACAGTCACAAGGTTGGCGATTTGTGGGCAAAACTCCAGTCTCGGACGGGACTCGAACCCGTACTTGTCCTTTCCGGGGACCGTGCTCGATAGAGTGTAAGGGATAAGAGCACGGTCCCCAGAAAGGACAAGTACGGGTCCGAGTCCCGTCCGAGACTGGAGTTTTGCCAAAAAATCGTCAACCTTGTGAGATTAACGATACTCTTTGCGACAATCACAGGGTATTTAGTTGAAGACGAATAATGAAAGCGATCGTCCAGAATAGCACAAAAGTGGCGTAGGAAACACGAAAATTGACATATTTGGAGACATCTGATTGTAAGGCTTCAAAAAAGTAGTGAAATTATTGAATAGACGAGGAATGTGACTACAAAAGTTGCATGGAAAGAATGTTCGGACGGCTGGCTACAGTAAGACAATATGCTGCTGCTCCTTCAGACTTTTTATTTGGAACAATATTAGTTACAAGGAGCTACAGTAAAATGAGAGAATATTGCAAAGTTATAACCCATGCTACGACGATCAGCTGATTGCATTGTCAACAGCTTGCTCCAATGCGAAGAGCGGTGCCTGGCATCTGGTGGGTGTGGCATACAAAGGGCACAGTCTTTAGCCTTTACAACGCCCAATCCAAGCCATTTTGCCGTTTGGCTTCGTCTCATATGCCATAAGTGGAGGCCAAAGGCTCATTCTATGGATATATCTAGAAAACCATTTTTGTCGTTAACTTAAGTTTAAGACAAAGGTTCGCAACCGTACCCCGCAATTTCACTTGCACGGCCCATTCAACATGTCAGCGACCATCTTCCTAAACAACTAGGTATTTTTTTGGGAATATGTTGACCTAGAATCCCAGCAACTTTCTGCGATAAGTTGGTTAAATTGTCATCGTGACATCACTTGATAGCAGCTCTGAGTAAAATACACCTGTGCAACTCTTCCAACAGCGGAGCGCCACCATTCTATCGCAAGAACCAGAAATCACTTCCGGCATTAGTATATCTCACGCAGGCAGAAGCTGTCTCTTCCTCTTACAGTTGAGATAGAGACCCAACTTCACTCCTAATCCTTCTTTCTTTTCTAATTTATCTAGTTCTTTACAGATTGTCCTATTGATTTTTACGATTTCTTTTGTGTTAAGCATTAATTTAAATACTAATCTTATGTAAATACTATCTTTGGTTATACCACTAATCCTCCACTTAAACTGTTTTTCACCTCCCCCTATTCAATGATGAGCCTCAGGGCTAGGTTAAAAACGAAGTTATGCTGTTGAGGTGAAACGAATCACTCACATTTAATAAATAAGCATTAAGTCGCAAAAAAATTGTTTCTTTCTTTTTATGTATTCTCCGGTAAACACCCCTCAGGGGTCTTTCGAGCAAAAATGGCGGAGCAGAGCACTCGCACAGAGGACCTTGACTGCTGCCTGAATTGATGAGGCACCCGAACAGCAGACAGCAGGCAGCGCAGATTTTTCTTAAGCTGCGATGGTTTTAAGATGGTATCTGCCGACTGTCGACCTACATAATAGGTTCCGGACTCGCTTCCACAACTTCGAGGATTTCACAGTTTTGTTAGTCGCGGAACATTCACATCACCAAAGCTCCTACCACTATATCCGGGACTCCTGTACCAGCTGGGTAATCCTTTGTAGAATGTCAGATGAATGTCACATTTGCGGCAGTACCATCCGTTACCTTAACAAAAGACTGAACCAAGTAATATTGCTAGTAAATAACTGGTCGATGGATAGAGCTCCAACATGAAATATTTTCGCTGTATCTCAAAGAATCTTGTCTAGCATCTTCGGTGATTTAGGGGGTACTCAGTACGCACGCCCATGGAGAACCCATTATTTTGCAAGCTCCAAGATAACTTGGGGTTAGGAAAGTGTCGTAAGACTAACATGATAACTCCGAAATCGATAGAAAGGTACTGAAAAGTAGGCAGGTCCACCCAAAGTTTTTATAGGAAAATTATGGGAATTTACCCAAAGTTTTATAGACATTATAGCTTTATAGGCTTATAGACATAAGCTAAAGAATGAGGTCCGAGGGCAAGTATCTGCACCATTGTTAGCTGGTGTGGGTACGTACCTTCGAAGGCACAGTTTATGATAGAAGTAGTCTCTGAGGTGTTACGATTGAATGAATCTCTGGCCACTAAGAATGGTACGCCCTATGCGCCTTGTCTGGGCCGTTGTCGAGTCGAAAAGCGGCTAGACAGGGCGCGAGAAAAGGCAAGTAGTGCGGTCTGGTGAGAGGCACCCAGACAAGCCCCTTTCTCGCTACTTTTTTTGAAGACTAATATTTATTGAAATTTACAATTTTCGTGCATTCTTCGCCATCCTCGCACTATACTTCACCATGGCTTGCATTATTTCACTTGAAATAGATATTTCAAATTTATCTTGGAGTGCTTTTGAGCCGGTTATGTTGTGCCTAGAGAGGGGTTGTCAGTCCTCTCCTAGAAGAATTTTTGCCTCGATCTTCTTGAGTGAAATCGATTGACCTATTCAAGATTCTCAGCGTTTTTCGCTGCTTAGTTTTTTTTTGGGATTGGCGTTCCCCTAGGACCACAATGTTCTTTCTCCCCCATTAATTTCCCTATCTAATTGCTTAGAATTGCCAATTTGTGGGCGCAGATATGTTCACAACTGAGTGAATAAACAAATAAATGAATAGGATTTTAGCTACTCAATGTTGGATATGTGGAGGCCAATAAAATGTACGATTGGCAGTGTTATATATTCCATGACGTAGACCTTCTACCAGAAGACGACCGTAATTTGCACGTTTGTCCCGACGAAAATCCTCAACACATGGCCGTAGCAGTGAATAAATTCAATTACAAGTAGGTCAATAATCCTAGGGCTAGTTATCCAGTGATTGCGTCTTACAGATTGGTTTCCTTATTTTTATTTATGATTTTATATGGCAGGCTCTATTATGACGAAATGTTCGGTACGAGTACCGCCTTTACGAAGGATCAATTTAATAAAACAAATGGATTTTCGAATCGCTATTGGGGATGGGGTGGTGAAGACGATGACATGTACTACAGGTATGGGTGATAATTTGTTTTCATACAGACTGAAGTTCAGAAGAGCTCACCATATTCTTCCACAGTGTAAATTTTTACCAAGTGCTAGCTTAAATTTGACGACAACATTCTCAAAAAGAGCAAGTAAAGTGGCAAAAATCTTCATTGTTATGAGTAGGCGTACTTGAGTATTCTCAACTGCTGCAACTGGTAGCAGACTTCTAACAAGTTATATTAACACCGGGCCGAAACAATAAATAAGTGAATGAACAGCCTATTTTTTCTGACCGATGAATTTCCCACATGCATTTAAGCAGTGTGAAAAACAAAAAGACGGGAATAGGAGGGGCGAAGGGTAATCTTCTTTTTCAAATTCAGAGTATAGTGCACAGTGTAAGATAGATACCCCCCGACGGTTTACCACCTCAACGTGGTGGGAGGATGGCGTTTAGGCTTGTAGGCGTATCCGACTTTTAAAGTTTTGTTTATGTAACAATAATACTCCTGTTTCTTTCTGGT